ATGAATACCATTTTTAGTTTTTTTTTTCTTTTTCTCATTCTAAACTTTGACATTTTTTATAGATATCATGAAATTTCCAGAAAGGTGTTTTTCCGATTTTTATTTTTTCTTTTCAATTAAAAAAAAAATTTTTTTTCTTTTGTCGTATTTTTCATAACATCGGTCCAAAAATTTACGGGAATCCTCGAATTTTTTTCCAAAAAGAACATTTACTAACAAAAATTTTGAAAAAAAAACGTCCCGATAAGCCAATTTTTGAAAAAGTTATGGCAATTTAAAAATAAAAAAGCGGTTTTTTTGAAAAATTCGGAACTTTTTTTTGGTTGGGTAAAAAAATTTGAAAAAATTATGAGAGACGTTTTTGATAGGGTAGAAAAGGATGGTAAACTTTCAGCCAAATCAAAAGGGGTCAGGGTCAAAAGTGGTCGATTTGGCGTGGAATGCCCCATATATATTACATATGAATTATATAGTTTTTTTACTCTGGTATGCTTTTACATAAGTATGTAACTAAGATATAACTAGATAAGACTAGTTATGTACTGATAAGGGTATATCCGACTATATGAAGCCTTATCAAGTCATATCAACTCTGATCAGGTATTTTTTTTTCAAGTTTATCAAAGTATATATAACTTTATAAGGTTATATCAGGCCATATCAGGACCTATTAAGAAATAATATAAAATTATATATGAGCTTATCAAGCTATATCAAGTCTGATATAGACATATCAAGTTGATAAGGCTTGATATGGCCTGATATGGCCAATTTCCATATCAGGCCATATCAGGGCATATCAAAAATTAAATATGGACATATCAGGTCATATCAGGCCAGATATGAATATATCAAAAATTCTTATATGGCCTTATCAACTCATATCAAGCCTGATCAGAATATTTTTTCACGGGTTGAGCAAACACGAATGTTATTTATTACTACACTAAATTGATTTATAGATCATTTTCGAAACAATATAATAACTTAACTGTTTTATCTTATCGATCGACCATTTATGTTAATGGGCTTACAATAAAAGTACCGGGCGGCTCCTCAGATTCGTTAGTCGATTCAGAGTGTCGATAGTTGATGTAAATTATAAATATAAAATGAAGCTCAAAGTCGCCTTGATTTTTTTGTTTGCTTGCACGTGCAATTTTGTCTCTTTGAAAGCTCTGAGGGAAGAGGAGATGATGAAGTTGTCCCTCAATCATTATACTTTAATGTGGGTCAACACTTTAACTGAATATATTTTGAGCAACGAGAGATATAAGCGTAAGTAAATTAAAATTTTTTTTTAATAAAACACGGAAATGTTCAATTTACATCATTATTATAATGTAAAAAGTACAATGCGTTTCATTGATTATTTACGGTCGGAAATTTTACAGAAAATGGAAACATCAAATTTTGGAAATCTGTGAATAAGGAAATCAATAAATGAAAAATATGGAAAAATAAGATTTCAGAAATAATAAAATGATGTGTCTTATTGAGGATACTTTGCAATATCGATTAGTTAAAAAAAAGCAATGAAAAAATGTAGTAATCAAAATAATTAGAATTATTTTAAAAAAGATAAGCGTAAAATTATAAAATAAAAAAAAAAAGATTTCCGTGAAATTAGACGCATCAGAATATAAACATCTAAAATGACTGATATTTAAAAAAAAGAAAAGAATAAATTCAGACAAGTCGAAAAAAAGACAATTACAAATTTAGAAAGATAAAAAAATAGACAGTCATTAATATTCGTAAACTTAAAATATGGAAATCTGTAAATATAGACCAATAAATGTTGATATCTGTACAATAATTATTGTACACAATAGGAAATTAATTCTAGTAAAAAAAATTTTTCTATTTATAATTACAATAATAATATTAATAATAATAATTATAATTACAATTATAATAATAATTATAATAAAAATTATTATTTCAATAAAAAAAAA